AGACTCCTAAACAGCTGACTCAGGATCTACCTCATGTAATTCCATCTGTACCATTTACATACTCATTTTGCACATGCATAATTGCACACTCACTGCTGAGTATTTCCACTCCACGGCTTCCACGTGGCATATATTCTCTTGGCATTATATTGTGCTTATGTTGTATTTTTATTTGCTTCCTTCACTTGCTTCTTTAAAGCTCCTTAGATTTGTTTTACTGCCTATTTAGATTTGTGTTATTGCTCATCTACTTTATATTTCACTTGTATTGTGTGGCATTCATGTGGATTGCAAAATAAGAATGTCATTGTACAGGGGAACAAGTTTCCTAACCACTTAAACACTTTGACCTTGACCTAACAGTCTAAGGTGTATATAAAATAAGTTTTAAAATTTCTATTAAAAGCAGTCAGGGATAGATTCCAAATATTTTGTCCCAATAATCATCATGAAGACCCTCAAAATCAAAATATGACTTCTACAGTTGCAGATCTGTGCACATGCTCATTTCAAAGCTCTGAAACATGCAGTGGTGGGTTTGTAGATTACATGGTGTAGACACACATTGACACTGGGCCCAGACTTACATGTTTACCCTTGTGTGAATACGCTGATGGAGTTTTAGACTCCCCAAATGTCTAAAAGCTGAGCCACATTGGTCACAGCTGTACGGCTTCTCTTCAGTGTGAATATGCTGGTGGCGTTTTAGATGCTCTAACCTTCGAAAAGCTGAGCCACATTGGTCACAGCTGTACGGCTTCTCTTCAGTGTGAATATGCTGGTGGCGTTTTAGATGCTCTAACCTTCGAAAAGCTGAGCCACATTGGTCACAGCTGTACGGCTTCTCTTCAGTGTGAATATGCTGGTGGCGTTTTAGATGCTCTAACCTTCGAAAAGCTGAGCCACATTGGTCACAGCTGTACGGCTTCTCTTCAGTGTGAATATGCTGGTGGCGTTTTAGATGCTCTAACCTTCGAAAAGCTGAGCCACATTGGTCACAGCTGTACGGCTTCTCTTCAGTGTGAATATGCTGGTGGCGTTTTAGATGCTCTAACCTTCGAAAAGCTGAGCCACATTGGTCACAGCTGTACGGCTTCTCTCCAGTGTGAATACGCTGATGGACCTTTAGAACCCACAATTTTATAAAAGCTGATCCACATTGGTCACAGCTGTACGGCTTCTCTTCAGTGTGAATATGCTGGTGGCGTTTTAGATGCTCTTGTGAATACGCTGATGGAGTTTTAGACTACCCAACTCTCTAAAAGCTAAGCCACATTGGTCACAGC